CGGCGGATGGGAGTTGGGGGGGTGCAGCTGTTTCTGGCGTGCCACGGACGAAGCGGGAAAGGGGAGACCCCTGCGCTGAGGAGAGCCGGCTGATAAAGACAGAAAGAGTCCAGTCATGTGGGTGACTGAGGGTTCAGGCGGTGTTTGTTGCTGAAACTTTATTCACTGACAGACATAAGTTTTTTGCGTTCGTTTTGGTGCATGGCCTCCGGGGGGTGGATGGGTTGGAAAATGCAGAGCAGCCTGCCAGCTTGGCTGAATCCTGCAGCGGCCTTGTTGGTGTTTTTCCCCTTGGAGATCTGTCACCAGCAGAAGCAGGATGTGCACGGGTCACTTGACAGACACCTCTCTGTTTGCTGCAGGGGCTGAGTGAATATAAGAGGAACTTCAGATGGAAAACCCCAGAGTTTTGTAGCCCATCCCAACAGCAGAAATCCTTGTGGGCAGGACTTCGGTCGGATCAGTTTGGTAAGCGCCCCTGAAAGCTGCCCCCTTGGTTGCAAACCCCGGTGCTGTCCGAGCTGGCTTGGTGAGGAGCAGCCTGGGCTGCACTGGGCCTAGAGGGGTTTGCTGTGAGAGGGTGCATGGTCGCAGTGAACTGGTATTGTTTGCAGCTTGTGCCCTTCATACAGGTAAAAGTATACTCCTGGTCATCATTTAGAATATGTTTTTAAATACCATATTCTTTCTGGCTACAGTGCAACTTTCTTTGAATGCTAGTGCTGCTTGTATGGAACCTGAAGGGTGGTTTCTGACATGAGGCACAAATGCAGTGTTAACCCATACAGGGAGCGTAGAAGGAGGCATTGGGTTACCTGTGGTGCATGGAAACAGTGAGTAAAATTCTGTATTTAAGAGGAGACTAACTTGGGGCAAAGTTGGATAGCAAAGTAAAATTGTTATGAAGAGTAACAGAGACAGCTAGTGGAAAAAAAAGATGAGCATTACATGGAAAAGCTTATGATGCTGTAGCCTAGGTGTTAGGAGTTGTAGACATTATCATGGCAGGAAAATGTGGGGTTGGGAAGTAGAAGACAAAGGAAATAGCGTCTGGGTTGAAAGGCCTGTAGAGAGTTGAGGATTAGGAGTAAGCTGGAGAGTGATGCAACTGCAGTGCTTTGAAAAGGAAAAGGAGCAGTAAAAAATAGGAATTATTGTAGTGGCACAAGACAGATTAGCAAAATTGTGCAGTTCAGTGCAACGGCACTACCCAGTCGGTGTAATTAGAGTAAAATATGTTAAATCCTACAATATGATAAGCATCCTAAATTACAGCCTAGTAATTAAGAGCTGACTTCTGGGAGTAGGGTTTGGTTTTGGTGGAGATGCTAGAGATCTTAATAAATAATTTAATCTTGCTAAAGATTATTCTTTATACCTATTACTGCTTTTTTCCATTACTGCAAAATATGTGTATTTCTTTAACCTTGCTTTCCCTAGCACATGACTCTGTGTATGGGTACCTGTATTGAAGAGTGTAACTTCCACGAATTCTGAAACACCTGAACATCCAAACACCTTAACTTCTTTTAAAAATTGTAATCTAGGCTTCCATTCCAGTCAAACTAAACCGCAAATTTTACAAGACTTGCAATAAAGTCGTGAGTTAGCAATACAGTTTCTTGTCCTCCTCATGTGGTAGCGGTATTTTTGTGCATGCTGGGTGTAGTTTTCCTACATTTTTGCATTCATTTTCACTCCCACTTCTGGCTGCTTAACCATCTCCATCTTCAAATGTCACTCTTGCCACCTCATAGGACTTGCAGATTGTTATTGATAATTCACTTATGGTTCTTCCTGTTTAAACACATAGTTGTCAGTTTTAAGAGTGACTCGGAACATCACCACAAAAAGTTAATAGCTGCAGATGCTCTGAATTCCTTCCTGCTACTTTTCCAGTGTTTTTCCACTGGAATTTTGTTGTACCGCCTGTATATGTAGGACAAGGGGCAATGGGTTCAAGCTGGAACATAGGAGGTTCCACTTGAATATGAGAAAAAACTTCTTCACGGTGAGGGTGACAGAGCACTGGAACAGGCTGCCCAGAGAGGTTGTGGAGTCTCCTTCTCTGGAGACATTCAAAGCCCGCCTAGATGCGTTCCTGTGTGATCTGATCTAGGTGTTCCTGCTCCGGCAGGGGGATTGGACTAGATGATCTTTCGAGGTCCCTTCCAATCTCTAACATTCTGTGATTCTGTGTGACATCCAGACATTCTGTATACCTTTTACCGTAGGTGGTTCTCTCTTTCTACATTGCTTTTTCATGAGAGAGGAGTTTCTCTCTCTCCTGGAAGGTGTTTCTTTCAGCCAGTTAGGAGCCTTCACTTATTCTTCCTTCGCGGTTGAGCACTTTGCAGTTGGATTATGACTTCCCGCTTTAAATATGTTCAGTCATTCAATCTTCTTAAAATGGTGGGGTAATTTTATTTTCAGCTGTGTGCATAAAGGCCAGCAATTCTTTAAAACAACTTGGTACTTGCTTTTGTTACATAGTCTTTTTACAATTTTGGAAGTATTTTTGTGTTTGTACTGTAAAAAGTCACGAGCTATCTGAGATGGTTTTAAATCACAGTCATATTGGATGGGGATCTGGCACTGTCCTGTCGCAGTTGGTGAGAACCTGTTCAGCGAGAGATATTGCGCATGTGTAATGAGAAGCGTTCGTGGCATACTTAATCACTGCAGGTCAGTTATTCTGTATCTGTGTTAACCACATTCTTTTCACTGGCTGTGTTAATTTGTGGTTGTTGTTCAACTCGCAGAATCAACTTGCAAAAATATTGTTTTGTGGCCATATTTGCTTTATAGGGTTTTATCTGACGTGGTCCCGGGGCACCATGTTCCTATCTCTCTTTAGTGGAAAGGAAAGGCATTTGCAGATAGGGAAGAAGACAGAGTTTCACAGCCGTGCTCATAATTCATAGGGTGTCATTGCTCAAAAATACTAAAATAGTTTTTTCTAATCATCAGTTATATGATAAACTTTCTGTTAATTCTTGTAATAGAGTGATATCATATCTTTAATAAAATCAAATGTTTTTGTTAAACCTAATACGTCTTTTTCAGGAATCACAAGAGAACCAAACTTCATTTCCAAGAGAAGGGTACCTTACCGTAATCCACAGATTTCAAAGTCCTTTGAATGGACAGCTGATTGTGATTTGAATGACCCACTTGAAACTGAAGCTCTTAGGACTGCCGCGTTGCACACAGACCACAACAACAATGATGTGAATCAGGAAAAAATTGAAACGCCAGAAGGACCCAGACTCCCCCCAAAAGTTCAGTCACATTCAGTAGGTTCAGAAGGTGAAACAGCTCTTGCCCTTGTAGAAAACAACATGAAGAGATCACCCTCTGCAGCGCCACCAAATCAAAATGAAGCATTTTCACCTCCAAAAAAAGAATTAGAAAAAACAAGTAATGGGGTAAGGGAAGATTTTTTTTTTTAATTGCCCAGTATAAAAATTACTAGTGTGATGCTTACAGTAATTTAATGCACATACACCAGCCTCTGTTGTCTAACTCTCTCCTTAGTTCTGTATTTTGATATTCTATGTTGTGGCTTCTCTGTTGGGAGAATAGTACTTTTGAGACCAGATTTTGGTTCCACTTAGGTCAGTAGGAGCTTACCCTTCATATGCCATCACTTTTGATTTCAGTTAAACAAGGATTTAGCATATAATATAGACTTTTTGGGGTTGTTTGCTATAATGAGAAAATCTACTTTCCACTCATTTAATTCATACAGCCAAAACCCAAGTCATTGGTTTGAAAGTGTGCATTGAAAGATGTCTGACTTGCAAAATATTGGAGGAAAGGGAGCAATTGGCGTTGTTATATTTTTTTTTATGTTGTCAGCTTCACAGGGTCCTTCAGAGGAAAGCAGACATGAATATTTCACGTTTAAATACTTTCCCCAGAAATTCTGAGTATCAAAGCCAGTTTGTTTGGAAGAGTCCTCATGAAAAGTCACCTATACTTGCAGCTGAACAGGTAACTTTAAAGAATCCGAAAAGTGAATGAATACTTTCTTTTATGTATCAGCAAAGTTGCTTACCTTCGAGGATTTCCTTTTTTCCTCTTTAGGCCGGGGAAGGACAAACTTGAATGTTGTTACATTATATATTTTTTTTAATTTCAGTATAAAAAAGTGTAGTATAATTAGATTTGTTTTCCTGTATTCCTTTCTTGTTGTCAAGTCTAATTACTCGTTCTCCTTATCCCTGGTTGTATTCCATCCTTTCTAACAGACCCATTTTCTTCTGTTTGCATTAATTTACCTTAGGAGCTCTAAGATCCTACTCAATGTTACCCTTCATTGTTATAATTTTTATATTGTCTAGTATATAGCTAATCGGCAGAGGAATGTTCAGGTGTTTTGTGTTGTAACAACATCTCTTTCAACTGAAATAATTCAGGTTTCACTATTTATTCTCATAGTCTTTTGTGAGTTGCCACGTTTCTTATTCTCAGTCTCCATCTCAGTGCACATGTACTTCTAAGCCCTAAAGTGCATCTCAGTAGTGTTTTTCTTTCATGAGAACTGCTTGTATTTAAAAAATGGAGTCTTTGGATTTTAAGATGCTTTTGTGGCATTTTGATACGTCTCATGAGTTTCTGAGCTTTGTAGGATTGGAAATGCTGCTATTTCTAATCAGACCACAAAGAGTAACTCCGATTGTGAGACTGTCGTGTTTTCATTCACTGTTACTGGGAGCAGGACTTAGGAGACTCAGTCTGCGTTTTGATCATGTTACAGTATAAAATAGGCACTTCTGCTTTTATTTTGTCTTCTGTCTCTTCACTGGGAGCATATACACTAATGGGATTACTACAGATGATGCACTCTCTGTTTTTACCCCACAGGTAGCAGATTTGTTCAGTAACAGCTTTCAGAGTCAATAGATGTTGATAACTAGGATCAATCACTATTCTTTCTTTTTCTGTTGGAATTCCAAGCAGGTGACTTGCTATGAGCTATCTATTTCCCAGCAGCTTCTTATCCAAGGAAAACTCACTGAAATGCATGACAATAGTGCAGAAGCCACCTTATGGAAAATTTTGTGGAGAATTCAATTTGATTTTGTAAGAAATCAGTTTGATAATTGCATTATTGATGCTTGTGTACATTGTGCTATTTCAGAAGAAAGACTGAAATCTGGAGTAGCAAAATTTTTCATAGCTTATACAGAATAAGAAGCTGTAAGAATAAGTCTGTAGGCACTGTAAAACCTTAGATAAATAGAATTTGGAGAGAATTTAAATATGCATAAGTGTTTACGGTTCTCAACTTAAAATTAGAATTTAATGATAAAAATTATACCTATTAACAAACTGATTCTTCTAATTGCTGTTGATATGATCGAGAATATACCTGGATACTGAATAATGACAGTACCTTTCCCTTGAAGGTTCTGTGAAAATATCAAAGTTATCCCAGTTAGGTTATAAGTCAGACTAAACTATCATAGCAAAGTTGGGGAAAACGTATGGTTGTGACATATAGTATGGTCTTTTAATTCAGGATCCTATGAGGAGATGATACCTGAGCAGGTATCAGGCAAATTCTCTAATTTGGTTTATAATACAGTATTGACTGAAAAATAGAGGATAGCTCAAATGACTCAAGCCCTAAGCATCCATTTCTAAAACACAGAACAGTTGTCTGTTGCTTATGGACTGGGCATGTACTGAGGACTCAAAGGGAAGTTTATGGCATACGTTTTAAAAAATGTGATCCTACATACACCTCTGAAGGTGAACTGTCTTACGAAATAAACAGTGTCTGTTAGTGAACTTTAGTAAGAACAGCGTTTGACCACATGTTTAACTATATCTGACTGGATCAATTTTAAATGTATATTTATCAGATACAACTTACTCTTCAATATGTCCTAGAAGTCAATTAGTCTGCACGTGCTGTAGTTATACACGTGACCATTTCTCTGCTCATATGTGAGTGTATTTGCATGAATTGGTTAACCAATTTTGAAAATTTAGCCTTAAGGTAACAAATCACACCCTTTTTTTTTGTTGTTGTTTTCTTTCCCCTCCAAGGTTATTTGCCACACAAGTAAATCCATACCTCCGTTTAAATCTCCTGCAATTACTTCTGAAACTGCATATGAGAGAAATGTCAAAGAGTCTCCTCCTGTTAAGGGTCCACAAGAGAGCGGTGGCTCAGAAGAGAAGGAATTTACGGTTTGTGAACAAGTAAATATTTCTCTAAAAGAAAGGCATTAGTGTACTTCTATAATATTGATTCATCTTTTCTGTAGTGCAGGCGTGGGCTTATTTTGAAATTTTTTAGTTGCATTTTAGAACTTGCTAATGACACTGGACTCAGGAGTGGTTTTGTGATAAAAGACTGAAAATAATACTGTACAGCTCTTTTCTATCTTATGGGTTTCTGTAGGGTTCTGTAGTTTCTGTAGTGCATTTGTTCAGTTTACAATGACATTTTAAGTGTGTTTTTTCTGTCACCTTGATTTATGGGTTTTCAGGTGGGCTCTTTTTTTTTAAGTTGAAACTTAGTTTTTAGTCATTAGGATAGTTTCTGAAATCTAAATCTCTGATTTATACTCATTGGTATCAGTGTAGTCTCTTAGTATGCAGGAGGGCTGGGTAGGAGGTCTGGAACTTCTTGGATCTCATAAATCAGACATAGTGTAAAATTTTAAAAAATATTTTGATGTATGGAGGATGCCACAGTTGTAACTGATTTTCAGCCAATATTTGTAATTTGAAGAAACGTAGAGGAAGGGTTACAATTAATTTCACTTTGCCTTGATAAGTTGAAAGGTAAGTGATTTTATTTAGCACAGGGTTATAACAGGACATTGTGTAGCCTACATAGGCTCTTTCACTCAGTTCAAAACATTATGATGTCTTTTAGGATATCAGTTTGCCTTTGTGAGGCCTTGCATTTCCTTGTCTTGCTGTTGGCTTGGAGAGACTTAAGTGGACTTCTGGGAAACATGGCTTTGTCAGTTTTACCAGATACATTTAATGAAATGGAATTGTTTCAGACTGAGACTTCCTTTTAAAATAGGCAAGAGCAATTTAGATTGACCTATTTTGCAAGATGGACATATGAATGTCTATTTTTGTAGCAAGCTGCCAAGTGTAGTGTTGTCTAAATTCCTGCAGGTTAGCTAACCATCCTTCAGGTGGAAGGACCACATATGAGCCTCTTCAGTATCCTTCTCTGTTCCTTGATAAGACAGGAAGAGCCATTGTTCAGACAAGGTGTTCACTTGGATCATTGGTGAGCAAAATGCATATTTAACATGGAGTGCCTGTGGCTCAGTTTAAGCCGTTGATACTCTTGAGGTTCTTAAAGATGATTGTTGGCTTGGAGGCTTTATTGGTTAAAACTCAGACTTGCCCAGTGCTTTAAATCTCATCTGGGAGTGAGGAATGTTATGTCCACTTTTATCTCTCCTAGCAGATGTGAAGAAATCTTGAAAGGCATGAGGCTTTCAGGAAGCACTTTTTTATTTTTAATATTGGAAATTCAGGTTCTTTTTTCCTCAAGAGAGATAGTAAAGTGGTGGAAGAGAACGCATGATAAGGGAATTTTGGTGAAAGTCTCTGAACCATTCTTTGTTTATACTTGTATTTCTTCTCTGATTAACATCTTGAAGAAGTTTTGGGGGATTTTAGTGGGCTTTTTTTTTTTTTTCCTTGAACTTGAACAATATCTGTGAAGATTTCTAGCAGAATCAGAAATCATGCACGAGATTTCTGAGAGGATAAAATAAGCAGGAAAAAAATATCTTTGATGTGAAAATTGAACAAGCCAATATGACCCTTTATAAACCAGAATGGAAGCAAATGAAAAAATTGCCTTTTGGTTTATTATACATTGGTTTATATTGCTTGACTGTAAAGCTAAGAGCTTTTATTTTTTAAAATTTATTAAAGATTCCAAAAGTATACGCGTTAAGTCTTACACAACTCAAAATACACAGGTATTGTATTATTTTATTTCTATGTTTCATGATAAATTCATTTTGTAAAGTGTATGAAATGGATCATCTAGCTAGCTGAATGTTGCACTCCGAATCTTAGCTTTGGCATTTTGATAGTTTATTTTTGTATTAACAAAGGAACGTAATACTCTTGTTTGTATTAACTATGCAAAACAGTTAACACTAAAATAAAATAAACTTTTTGCAAAAGCTTGACGACAAGAGGAATATGAGGGTTTTCAGATTGTTAGCTAATTTGGTATTTTTAAAATTATCTTTGCCTTAGAGTAAGAGGGAAGAACCGTTTCAAAAGCCAGCAGAAGATGCAGCAAAACAAGGGAAATCAGAACAGAAACATCCTAAACAAAAAAATAAGCAACATATCAGTCCAAAGCCCCTCTCTTTACATACAAGTCGTGGGTATGTATAAAATAGGAAAACCTAGCCTAGCGAATAGGTGTACAGCAGCCTAATGTGTAGAATGGTGAATGATGGACCTTTAACCACGCCATGCTACAGTTGCAGAGGCAAATGCCCCCTTTCAGCGCTGCAGCTGAGCTTCCTGTGAGTACATCTAAACCTAGTGTTAATTTCTGTCCCCTTCTCTGGGCAGTGGAAGCTTTGTAAGCACACTCGTTCAGTTGAACCTTCTGATGCAATAATAATGTTATTAATAAATTTATCATGAAATAAATTAAATTGGTGCAGTGCTGCTACTAAACTTTTGGCAAGTTCTTTGAAAGTTGTATTCACCTCTCAACCTGCTCTCTTATGCTTGCTCCGCGCTTTAAAACTGTGATGATTGTACTTAGTGTCTGCTTTTTCTAGTCTGTACCACTTTCTGTCCTAGAGTAGCAAAAGCAAACACATGAGGTAAAAGGAAATAAATCTGTCCCTTTAGGGTAGTCTGACAAGCATGGAAGTAAAATGAAAATGTATGTTACTGAGGGCTAGCAAAGTATGTCTTTCTTCTGCCACATACGTACATTGCAGGAACTGAACTCACGTTTCCATTTTCTACACATCTGAGATATGCCAAGAGAAATAAAAGTCTGTAACGGATGTAGGTTTTAGAATACATAAATTAATCCATCTCTACTGTCTTTGTGCTTAATGTATGTCCCAGTGATTGCTTTCATTCGCATGTCTTTCTGTCAGTGTTAAGGCATTAGATTAAAGATGGGAGAGGAGACTTACCTAGGTCTGGATGCTCTTGGATACTGGGAGATTATTGAAAAATGATTACCCAAAATACAATGAAATAAAATTGCTTTATGAAAAAGTGAGTGTATATAATATAGTTAAAACTTTTACCTCTTTGGTTTTCATAGCTGTTTGACATAGTAGATCATTTTGCAGTGAGTAGTGTGTAAAATTCTTGAACATTTGCCATGTCTTTTTTCATTTAAGGACAAATTTCAGCCTCTTACACCTTCAGTGTGGTAACACAAGTTAGAAGTTTCCAAAACAGTCACTGGGCAAATAACTGTCAAAATGTACAAGTTCTCAATATGCAGACAGGACTGTCACTTTCTGTGCAACCTACATTGCATGGCCTGCTCATGCAACAGAATGACTGCCATCAAGGCCAGTGATGTGGTTTTGAGCTAATCCATTAGTTTTGCAACCAAAACGGAAGGAATTCTGACAGTTTCAAAGAAAGGAACATACGGAGAGAAATTTTGAATAAAAAGGGTTTTTTTGCCTTGATATTTTTATTTTTACAAGGTGCATTTTATTCTCTGAGTTCAGGCTTTTAGGGTCTATTTCTGAAGAACTGAAAAAGAAGGCTTTTTCACCCAGTGCTGAATATATGAAAATCAAGTTAGCCCTGTTCTGATGTAAGATTAAAGCCAAAAACCTCTTTAGACTTAAGCTGATACATCCACACTTCAATGCTTAAGGACTTGAAGTATTGCTTGTTGCCTGCTTTATGTTAGATGATGTTAGTTTTTCTGTGTATGTATGTGTGTGGCAGAAGGGAAAATTAATCCATCTTTTTGAGTACTGAGGCCTTTTGAAGATCAAAGCCAGTCGGATATAGTTAGATGAATCATGCTGACCGCTGTTCTGGTAGTTGAATGTTTCTAGCCCCCACCCATATTCAGAGCACGTTTAGAGTGGAGTTCATAGACAGAAATGTCTTGGACACATTAGTGCCAAACCAGGCATTTTTACCTAAATGCACCTTCATCAGTGACTTAAACCAAGATGTTCCACTTTGCGTTGAAGTAATTGAGGCTTACGTGTGTATTAGTTCTGCTGATGTGGCTGTCAGGGCAAAAGCTTCTGTCAGAACAGTTGTGAGGAAAAAAACAACAGGACTAACTACTTGAAGAGCCACCAACTGTGAATGAGATTTTTCACAGGTTTCCTAGTTGTGTTGGTGTGGATGAGCTGTGTTTCAAAGCATGTGTTTTTGACTTCTCAGCCTGGCACTTAAGTGCAAGTATGCTTATGATTGGTGATACAACTTTAAAAGTGCTCCTAAAGAGTATTCTGGATATCAAACTTTACTCTTTCTGTCTTTTTTTCCTCTCCTCATTCTTGATTTCTTAGGAAGATGAACACTGAATATAGGTCAAAATTTTTGTCTCCAGCCCAGTATTTCTACAAAGATGGAGTTTGGTCTCGTATCAGGAGTAAAATTCCCAACCAGGTGAGTATTCTTAAAAAATCTGAAGCCCAAGTATGCTTTGTATTTTGATTTTTATATGCAAAAAACTTGTCAAAGTATAAACTTGTTGCATATATAAGATACAGTTTTGAGATTGTGATGCTAATGACTCAAACTCCCAAAGGGGAGTATACAAAGAAGATTAGGTTCTGACAAGCCAGTATAATATTTAGTAAGAAAAAAAAAAAAGACAGTATGACTTAAGAGAATATATTAATGTGACATACAAAGTGAAGGAGGAGCTTTGTTTCCCTCACAAATCAGAATCGTCCAGAACAGTCTCTTGGAGCAGGTAATTGTAGCATTGATGTTCAGCCCAGTTGTAGCAAGCGTAAGTGTTGTGGTTTAGAAAGGCCAGAGGGACAGTCCTTTGTTAAACACCTGGTGGGCTGAGGCAGGGACAGGGAGGGTTTCACTCACCACTTAGGGTCGCGGGCAAGAAACCAACACAACTTGTGAAGAACAAAAAACCCCAATTAAATGTATTAACTATTTACAACAAGAAGCAAGATACTGAGAGAGAGAAACCACATCTTAAAAAGGCATTTCTCCCCCACCCCTCCCTTCTTCCCAAAGCCCAAAGGCTTTGTTCTGTACCTTCTCCCCACCTCCCCACCCCGGCGGCGCAGGGGGGCAGGGAACGGGGGGTGCAGTC